GTGTGTGTGTGTGTGTGTGTGTGTGTGTGTGTGTGTGTGTATGTGTGTATGTGGGAAGGGCTGGTTTATATACAGAATTACAAAACCTAATATTATCAAAACTTTAGAGCATGAATTTTTTTCTTTATTGTTTGAAAAAAGAATCCTTATTTTTTATGCATTGATTTTGCATGCAACATTGCAACAAAATTGTCAAAGGTCCTACGGGTTTCTTTTTCAGAAAGTGTTTTAGATTTGTGTGTATAAATATGTATTCCTAATTGAGATTCACAAAACTGAAGTGATTTTGATTGTTTTAGCAAACATTCACTGTTAGATGAAACGTCTTGACGGGGCGGTTCTAGGGGCGGGGCCACAGGGGCATTGGCCTCATCTGAAATCTGATTGGCACCCTGAAGTGCCCCTGTCCTTGTCACTCATCTGTCCTTTGCACGAGTGGTTGCAGTTCCACTTCCAAACAGTAGTGGCACTAATGAGTCAAATAGGAAAGTCCAGCATGAAGCAAGCTTACACAAGTCTTTTTCAATTTGAATATTCCTGCAGAAAAAGTATTTTAACTGACAACAATGGCTGGATTTTCTCACGTGTGTTTGAGAGTATTTCATTCATGTATAGTAAAAATGCATGTAAAATTGATAAGGAAAATTTACAGTTTGAGCACACAAAGTGTCTCTGAACACGTACGACTGATTAAATTTATACACCTTACAAAAACTGGGGATTTGTGTGCAAGCATGTTGAACAAACACTTGGCCACTCTATGAATACTGTGGCCCCTGGATGGCCCCGTACACTGAAAAATCCTAGATCAGCCACTGCATCTTGAAATGAAATTAGATTTTTTTCAGTAACTGCTCCTCTATAACTCAAAATAAACATCAACCCTGTGAAGATCCAGATTGACTTCGGAAATACTTTATCTGAAAGTTCAAAAAACTCTAAAAATTAAAAATGTTTCATATGATCCAAAAGGCTGCCTCAAACAAGCTCCATCTTATATTAAGATTAGTTTGTTGTAATTCAGTATTTTGCCATATAAATAAACCAAATTGAAATGTCTCTTCTGTAAACACACCTGATTTATAATAGGGCGCAGGAACAGCCATCTGCACAGTGACCTCCGCTCCTTGCACCTGTGTTTTGGGTGGAGCCACCAAGTAGATGAGTCCTCCCCACAAGTTCCACACCTGGATCATCTCTGAGGTAACAGGAAATCGCTCATGAACACATGGAGGTCTCTTCAGCTCTTTAGCATTCAGTCGATCTGTTTGACAGCCAATTTGAATCTGGGAACAACATAATATGTAGGTTTGGAAATTTGTTTCTGTGCATCCCTAAACAATAATCTGGTCACATTACGATGTAGTGTGACATAGTGCCAGAACTGGATCCATCTGATCACTGGTCTGATCTTACAGACAGACCTGGTTTACTCAAATGCATATCGAGATGAACTGAGCATCTCTGGTGGAGCCTCCTGTCCATGTGTTCTTCAACTGTCACATCCAGATGTTTTTCACTTGTCCCAGGGGAGGTCAGCAACATGGAATTTGAATAGGCCATGTTCAGGATCTCTATTGAAGATGTGGCTTCCAGGAGCTGTGGCCTGAAGGTCATCATTGTTGGTCGCGGTGGCGACCAAACGACCTGCTGGAACAAGGAGGCCTTCAGGACTTTGCTTTCCCAGAGGACTCCCAAAGCAGCTGATGGGTACAGGGTGGCCAGAAGGACTGCAGCTTGGGTGGTTATAGATGCAAAAACTCTGTCATGGGAGGAATTCAGGAAGGTTGTGGAGAAGGACATACAATTGGCCTCTAGGAAGTTCTGAAAAACTGTTTGGTGACTCAAAAGAAAACTGTTCCCTGTCCCAGGCTGTGCTTGATTTGGGTGGGGAACTGGTGACCCGGACTGAGAATATTGTTGAGTGGAAGGAACACTTTGAGGATCTCCTTAATCCACCCTCCATGTTCATCTTTGAAAAGGCAGAGTCTGAAGACCTAGAGGAAGACAAGTCCATTACCATGGCAGAGGTCACTATAAGGTAGTCAAAAAGCTCCATGGTGGCAGGACACCAGAGGTGGATGAGATTCGCCCCCGAGATACTGAAAACTCTGGATATTGTGGGTTGGGATGTTATGGTTGACACTTCTGTTCAACATTATATAGAGGACTGGGATGACTCCTATGAAGTGGTAGGCAAGGGTCATGGTTCCCATTTAAAAAAGAAAGGTCCAAAGAGTGTGTTCCATCTATTGTGGGAGCACACTTCTCTCTCTCTCCCCAGGAAATTATACTCCAGGGTGTTGGAAGGGAGGCTCCAATCAATTGCCAAACCTCAGATTCAAGTAGAGCAGCGTGGCCTCCATCCTGATCCTGGGGGACCATATATATATA